AATTTTACTACTTTTCTAAATGTTAAACTAAAGATCAAGGGAACATTAGCTAAAGTAAAATTTAATTCTAAAATTGAAAACATAAACAAAAGTACAACCTTGTCCTTAACTATGAGTTTTGATCTTGACCTTTGATCTTTAAATCGTCACAAATAATCTTTTACTTTTTAATATTAACAATTTTGCAATGTTTTGAGGATAATAACACTAAATTGTTCTGATTACTGTTGAAAGAAAGTTATTATCCGCTTAAAAACAAGCAACTAATAAATGCTTAAGCTTAAAGTCATCATAAGATGACTTAGTTTAATCATCATCATTATCATCTTAATCATTACGAATGAATATTTTTATCACAAATGATATTTTTACCGATTGTTCCCCAAACATTTCTACACTGTTTAACTTTAAAAACTTCATCATCATCATCATCATCATCATCATCATCATCATCATCATCATCATCATTATCATCATCATCATCATCGTTTTAGCATCCCACATGCTGATATCGAAACATCTGTATCTTTACATTCTGATACCCAGTTCTTTTCCTGGCATAAAACCAAATTGCATGTTATTGATAAATATACTGCTCCTTTTTTTTTGTTTACAATAATTCTTTCTAAAATATTTATTACCTGGCAGGCAGTTCAATTCCTCAGTATGAACCACATATTGGAGCAATTTTACCTTCAAGTACAAATGCATTGTAAAGATATGACATCCACTGACACCCACATCCCCTGAAGCTTTCAACGTCTCTGGAAATACACCAGAGGGTCCAGTTCCTTGTGTTGAATAGACTTCTTTGATAGCTGTTGGCTAATGATCAATAAAATAAATTTGAAATCATGAAAGTTTACTTTAGTTAAAACCATATCTCAACAGCCAGCAAACTAATTCCAAATGATGGTAACGGTAAAACTAAAGAAAAATAAAAATAAAATATAACAATATAAAAAGTAACATTGTTAAACTTGTATAAAATATAACGGGTGTTCACTTGAAATCCGGACTGACTTTAAAGGGTCATAACTCCCTTATTTTTTATCAACTTAAAAAAATAAAATATGATTTAAAATCAGCATTTAATTCTCTATAATATGATACTTTATTTATTTTCAATTAAATTTTTTCTTCTTATAGAATCAATTCTTGATAAAATACCCTTTGCAAACTCTTGTACAAGATTGATATCAACTTTGCTGAAGCAATAAACTATCCTTTTCCTTAGTTGTTCTAAATTTTCTGCTTGCCAATTATCCTTGTAAACTAAACCTAATATTATTGACCAAAAATCCTCAATAGGTCTTGTTTCTGGTACATTTGCAGGGTTATCTTCTTTTGGTACAAATCTGACGTTTTGTCCATTTAAATAAGCTTGAACAGATTTAGCATAATGAGACGTTGTCAGATCTGGCCATAATACGAATTGACTGTCTTGATGATGCTCTTTAATAAAAGGAATAAGACGTTTCTTAATACAATCTTCTAAGTAGATTTTTTGATTGATTGCAAGACCACTTTGACGGATTAGTATTTTTGACATTCCTTTTACAAAAAAGGCTACCCAGACCAGGAGCTTGGGTTCATACTTTCGCTTTGTATAATATTTGACACTAGATGGGCAGAGGTTTATGTCACTTGTGTAGAAGTTGCTAAAACTTTTTAACCAATAAACGGGCTTCCGGCACTATAAGCTAATTTCGTTAGAGTGCCGAATTTCGGCACTCTATCCACGGCCTTTTACTTTTATTTACGGAAACTATCCGGCAACTTAGTTTACTTTCCGTTGTTTAACAGGAAAAACTTGTTTAATTTAAACGAAAGTATCCGTTTATTTACGGAAAAGTTCCGGCAGCTGCCGATGACCAAACTACCGAAAAAACCCATTGTATTTTAACGGAAAAAATCCGTTTGTTCACGGAAACATCCGTTTACATGCGATGGGCTTTTCCGTAAAATGACGGGTAGTTTGGTCATCGGCAGCTGCCGGAACTTTTCTGTAAAAAACGCGCTAGTTAAAAACAGTTAAAAACAGTGCAGTTAACACGTAGTATCACTGAATTGTTTGAAAAATCTTCAAACAATTCAGTGATACTACGTGTTAACTGGAGAACCTTCATTGACTTATTAAAAGATACTATGAACCATAAAATTCTTTTTAAAAAACTCAAACATTACAGAAAACTGGAAATGTTTTTAAATGGTTAAAAAATTATTTAAATAAACGTAAACAATTGGTATCCGTTGGCGTTGGCGCTCCTTAACCAATGAGTTTACAAAAGATTATCTGTGGTGTTCCGCAAGGATTGATTTTCGGAACTCTTCTTTTTCTCATATTAACGTTCTTCGTAAAGTATCCAAATTAAAGACAATAATGTTCGCCAATGATACAAACCTATTTTTATCTTATAATAACACCCCTACACTCTTTCAGCTGATGAATCAAGAATTAAACAAGATTTTTTATTGGTTAATAAATCAAACAAATTATCACTTAACATTACAAAATTTAACTATATTTTCTTTCATCCACTTGCTGAAGAAGATTATTTCCTAACAAAATGCCATCCCTTTTCATTGATGCGGCCAAAATAAACAGACAAATATTACAAGTTTTTAGGTGTTTATATTGGTAATAACCTTACCTGGAAAATTCACATTAATAGTTATGCAACAAAACTTCAAAAAGTATACAAATTTTATTCAAAGCCATATTAATTGTGCAAGTATTGCTTGGGCTAGTACCAACAAGGTAAACTTGAACCTCTTCATCGTCATCAAAATACAGAGCATGTTTAATAAACTTAAGTGAACATTTTATCTATGCAAAACCTTTATTAAGAAAAATGAATGCACTAAATATATAGAGTAGACCGGGGCAATTTTACCACTTTTGCTGCTTTAATGTTGTCTGTTCAACCTGATACGCTTTTTCCGTATAACATGGACTGAATAATAATGAATACATTATATTTAGTTCAACCGCGTTCAAAAATAAAAATATAATATATTATTTATACTCATGAACACCGACTTGTACTATACACTTAAATGAGGCAATTTCGCCTTTTACGGGGCGATTTCGTCAATGTAAAAAGAGTTAAAGCTTTATAATATTTTGTCGAATTCTGTGCACACGTCAATGCAAAAGCAGACTTCATATGCCCATAAATGACAAGAAACGCATTGGAGTCTTCTGATGGATTCATCCATGCCACACCGCACTCACAACAGTGAGTTGTTTTTATCTGTTGTATATCTACTTTTGATGCACTCGATAGCTTTTGATTTAATAATGATTTTAAACTATAGTATTTTCTCTTTTTTGAGACATGCTTTTATTTGATTGGGAAAAAAACTCCTTTTTTTTCTTGACTTGCTACTTGCTTTTTTTTGTTTGATGGAGAACCTTTTCTTTTTTAAGTTACTTGGATTGGAAAACAAATTCAGAGATTTTCTATTTTTTTTATATAAGTGAGTAATCGAAGTGAGATTTATGCCATGACGTTTGTTTTTTCCTCCCACAGACCTTGATTGTCAACGTCTGTTAATCTTATTTTTCAGCGTTAATCTCGGTACTCCAAATGTTTTTGCTGCCGTTAATATTTTACAGCCATTTTTAACAGCTTAAATATTCAATTTGAGGTTGGTATCACTATAGGATTTTCTTTTTCTTAGGGAGATACGTGCGTACTATCTAAAACATAGGTATTATTTAGCGAGATTTAGGTTTTGGCGCCCAAGGTAAAAATGCAACAAGAAAATTATTACGATTGTCATAATAACTATCTTTTTAAATATCGATGTTTGCATTTAATAATGGTAAATTTTAAACATGCTAATTGATATAGTGGCTGTAAACAATCAGAGATGGTTAGCATTTAATGATAAGAAATGCAAATATAAGAAACGCATGAAATTACGACAAATGACATTTTGAAACACAAATTTTGAAATCGTCATTTCGAGAATTTTAGAAAACTATTTTTAAGATAAATTATAAAGTAGTTTAGTTTTAAATGTATATCCCCTCTGCGCAAGTTTTATAAAAAATTGGTAAAGAAGGAGGCCTGAACTTCCTTTCAAATACCCTTTCGTGGTGCTCTCTGATAAGACCATAATATATATATATATATATATATATATATATATATATATATATATATATATATATATATATATATATATATATATATATATATATATATATATATATATATATATATATATATATATATATATATATATATATATATATATATATATATATATATATATATCGTGTTTAAAAAAAAAAGCGCACATTCAGATCTAAATAAGCACACACGAGATGTTTATTCCCAATTTATTTTTTCAAAGTTGTTGTTGGTTAGTCAGCTATCCAAACAAAAAAGATTTATAAAAGTACATAATCTATAGTTTATTTAAATCGAGCAACCATAGCGCAGTGATTAACGCGCTTGCCTCAGAAGCTAGAATCCGTGGTTCAATGCAACTTCTAGACGCGATTCTACGAATAAAATGAGAAGGTCGGAATCCTCAAAAAGTACCGAATGGCCTCTTAAAAAAAAGGTTTTTAAAACGAAAATTTTTACGACTGAATTAAGTTAAATACCCAACTAACCAAATAAAATCGTAAAAAAAACCGACTATAACTTGAAAGGTTGATGCATGTTTCCAAACCGCAAAGTCAGGTGGCGTCTTTAGGTCCGCAAACTTTGTAATTTATTCCACATAATTAATTTAAGCATGAATAATTATTTGTTTTGATACATTTACGGTATTTGTTTTTGTTTAATTACGGTACAAAAACATTCACTACCTTCGAAATAACGTGTGAAAGGTAGGTGCGAGTTTCCATACCGCAAAGTCAGGTGGTGTCTTAGAGTCCGCAAAACTCGTAAATCTATTTCGCATAATTATTTTTTACATGAATAATTATTTTTTTGTTGGTATAATTAAATTTATTAATAATTTTGGCCATGCTTGTTTGTTTTATATAGCCGAAAGGATTATATTAACTTGAAGGATTAAGTAGAAAATAATAACTGTAAAATGGATAATATTTCTTTTTCATATGATAAGATATCGGGAGACGATAAGAGTTTAAGTTTGTTACAAGAATCTAATCTCATTAATGGTAATTTGATAATTTTATGGTATTATAATTTTTAATATATATTATATAATTTTATGTATTTTGTGGATTTGTTATTTTTCCAAAATTGATAGTTTTGTTTTATTTTTATTATTTTGAGTTATTAAAGTAATTATTAGTATATGATATTTTTAGAAGGAAAGTGGATATGTGCAGAATCATACGAGGAAATACTCGCTTTAATTCAAAACTATGAAACAGAAACTGTGTCAAAGTTTTCATGCTATTCTGCTAACAAAAACTTTGGTAATATAGGTAAGAAAAAGTTTGTCAGTTGCTAAGATATTGCTCACATTGTTTTTTTTTGGTGATATTTATAGGTTTCTTTATACATATCTAACTAAAAATTAAAACAAAATAGTTCTTCCTGTAGTATAAGGCAAAACGAGTAATAAATAACTTTATTAAAAAATCTAGTAAATATCCTGTTTATCCTGTTTTTAAATATGTTTTTTTTTATATGTTTAAAGAAGCTTCTGTCAAACACCACAAAATAAGACAAGAGGACGACTCTGTACCTTTTAATGGTGTTCCATTCGTGATTGTAGGAAGTAAAGTTCTTGACTGTATGCATGGAAGAGATAGAAAAGTATCTTTTAAAGAAGAATATAAAATGCGTTGCAATGATAGAAAGGTTTCTTGAATGTGCAATATTTATTTATATTTAAATAATTATATAAGGTATATCATATACTTATTTATAGTTATATATTATATAAGTATATCATAAATTTGAAAACTTTAATGATTCAATTATAGATAAAATACATGTCTATACACTATATTTAGTAGTGTATATTTGTTTATACAATATACACTAAATGTTTATAACAATAATAATAGGTATCTGATCACAGTTACTTAAAAAAACTATGAAATGATCCAGGACACAAAGAAATTTAATTGTAGTTTACAAATAAAGATCAAAGAAGTTTTAAAATTTCCAGATTTTAAGGTTTTATTTCTTTTAAATTATATTAGTTTTACTTAATTTAGAAAATAATAAATTAACATTAATATATATTTGAATAATAAATAATAGTAAAAGGGTTCCTAATTCCCTTGCCTATAATATTATATTGCTTAATGATTCAAAAGAATCTTTTTTTTTCTTTCTAAAAAATATTAAATAGCTTTTTGAAAAAATACTAGTTTACGTTAGTGAATTTTTTTAAAGTGCAATGTCTCTTTAGGTTATAGAAATGGAAAAGAGTAACCTCCTCCAAAAAAATTCGAGAAGCAATTTCAAAAAATGAAGCAGTGGGACAAAAAATATTTTTAATTTTTCTTCCATCAATGAGTTCTCACACTGAACACTTTACTGGAAATGTAAATAATTTTTATAACATCTGATTTTACCAATAACTAATTTTAATCACAAGTTGTATAAAATTATATTGATATATTTACAATTGATTTTTATTTCCTTTATTTCAGTGTTAAAGTCAAGTGTTGATGTTTTAATTTATTTATTACTTACTTTATATCTTAATCATTTTTCTGTTAAAATTTCTTTTTTTTTTAATTATAGGCACTCAACAAGTGACTATTCCCTTTATTTAATTTTTTTTTTTTATTGAAACTAACCACCCTTTAAACTATCTTCAGATTTTTACATTTTTTGTTTAAATTTTCTGATGATTCTTTTTTTTTTTTTTTTTTTTTTTCAACGCTGCTGGTATATCCCAGCCAATTGAAGCAAGATTAAATGAAGAAATATTTACATCATCTGAATTTATAACTAGTGTTGATGAAATGCGTAGGAGATTAGAAATCATTGTGACAAGAGAAATTTTTAAAAATATTATATGTCCATCTAAATCAAATAAAAGGTTCTTCCCATCCAAAAAAACTATTCGTTCTTACATGTTGAAGCAATAAGAAAGAAAAGGTATTCAAATATTGACCAAGAATGTCTTATAAAAAAGTAGAACAATGGAAAGTTGAAAATCCTCACAGAAGATTTTATCTTCGACCTAAAGGGAAAAGTGAAAATTGTATGTATTTAGTATTTTACTGTAATCTCTCTTTACTTAACTTCAATTTTCACCAAGATATACAAATTAAATGTGTATATATATTTTTTCCCTTGTGTTCCTTGTGCATGTTTAAATAATTAAACACTATATTTATTTTAAACACTATATTTAAAAAAGAAGCTTTTATAGATTTTTTTTGTTGTGCAGATTAGGGTGAATACTTAAAAAAAATTCAAATGCGCTATATAAATAACTGTTCTTTTATTATGATAACATTTTATTTTCTACAAAAAAAATGTATTTAAAATAAGGCTCCCAGATACTAACTGTTTTTTTGTTTTTTTTTTTTTTTTTTCAAATACAATACTTTATTTTCATGAATAATGTGTGAATATAATATACACATTATTCATGAAAATAAAGGATTGTATTTCATGAATAGTAGTTACCTAATTATAATTGTTTAATACATGTTTAAAATTGTATAAGACTACTGTCGAACCTTGTTTATGCTTTTCATTAAATTAAAGTCTCAATTATAAATTATTGCATTACATTTCAAAATTTGAAATAATTGTTAATTTCAAAAAATCAGACTTCTAAATCTAGCACTAATTTTTTAACGAAACCTGAAAAAAAAAAAGAATTTTTCATATTTTTTTTATATTTATTTTCATAGGGTTTATTATTTTTTAGGTATATATATATATATATATATATATATATATATATATATAAATATATATATATATATATATATATATATATATATATATATATATATATATATATATATATATATATATATATATATATATATATATATATATATATATATATATATATATATATATATATATATATATATATATATATTAGGTTGACTTATAAAAAAACATTTTTTAAAAATGTCTACTGGTTCCCCTTAAATGTGTTCCATGTAATAAATTTATACTAAATATAAAATTTTATTATAGAAAAAAGTTTTTTGGGTTTGCTAAAGACCCTTATACATCAGATTTTATGGTCTTTAATATTCTGAAAAAGTTCTTCGAAAGCATATCATGGTATGCCTCTGAATAAGCGAAATTGTATAAAAATTTAAAAAATAATTTTAAAAATGCTTTTAATAAACTTTATTTTTCAGAATAATAGTGACTCGTCTAATGTTTAAAAATCTTGAGCAACCCTTAAAAAAAAAATTAATTTAAAATCTTTTTTAATTTAGTATTAACTTATTACATAGAATACATTTTGGGGTACCAGCAGACAATTTCGATAAACTTTTTAATTTATGAACTTAATTTAAGTTCATTTAAATTAAATGTAAATATTTATTTGGATTTATGACGAAAAATATCTAGTTTGCTGTATTTGTACATTTTACATCATATTTAATATTAATGTATACATTAATATTAAATACGATGTAAAATGCAATTTGCATATTGAATATAATTTGTTTATATTAAAGTTTCTTATGATTTAAAATAAGTTCTTTTCCTTGTCTATTTATTAGAAATTAGGCTAAGACAAAAAACTATTAAGATTTTTTTTTTAACTTTATTATAAATAATATTTTACAATTTCTTTGTTTCTTTGTCAAAGAAATCATTTAAAGTTTGAAAACAAAATTAAATTTGGTAGAAACATTCGGATTTTAGTAGAAATATTCTGATTTTTTTTCATTAATATACCTCAAAACAAAAAAGTTTGTGATGAAATTTTCATTTAACTTTTCTATTAAAGTTTTTAATCCACCTGCATTTTCTGAAACTTCTATTAAAAATTATATAATGAACTTGAGAGATTGTTATTGTTTTTTGTGTTCCATTCGTTCGACTCTACCC